TCCTTCCTTCGAGAACTAGCACACACGCATTGCAGGAGATGCCATATGGTAGGCCAAGCCAAGTTTCATGCCGTCCTATAGTCCAGTGCCCTGCAAACGCAGATATTAACCTAGTTATCTCTGATTACCTTCTGCGAATAGTATGAATAACACCAAAACATTATTTTATCAAGAAGAGTTTATGGTAGAATTTTCAATTACTAAATTGAGTCCTACTACGGTGCATTCATCCGACTATCTATTTATGTATTGATAATACTTATCTAACTATTGATCCATTGACGCTATGGCATTTAAGTATTGAATTCTTCATTCATATTGGAATTACTGTAGGTGCTGTCTTAAACGAACTTTCTTATATATAGAACTGTATAATGTTGTCAATTAATTTGTCATTTTTTACACAAAGTTTATTAATTAAATAGGGGCAGTTCTTTAATTAGGATGGCATTGTTAATCTCGTCGGTGTCTGCTTAATAGAGCTAAAAATAAATTAAGCCTGAAACTAGTTTTTCTTTTCTAACACTCCTGAAGTGTATTGCTTTCCCTCATATACTTTCAAATTTAGTTCCAACGCATGTTTGAGTAATAGTCTCTGACTACTGTATTCGAGAAAATTTGACTATAGTGTGCATCGTTTGCTAGGTATCTTTGCTGGCTAATGTATCCCTTATAATCGAATTGGAGGGTGAGTAGTTAAGGACTGTTGTTTAATCACATGCAGCTAGTAATCGTTGCTGACTGGTTGCAATCCTACTGATTATAGTTGGTTTGTAATCTGTGTCGCTTGCTAAAGTAGTAAACGACTGTTATTTAGTCATATGTTGGACATTTTCCTTTCAATATATTTAGTGATTTTCATGAAATATAAACTAATATACGCAATGCATTGAAATAAGTTGTATTATCAAATCTCTTTTTTAATAAAATCTGCTGTATTTAATCCTCTCACAAACATTCATCAATTTTTGACATCTCTGTTTTTAGAAGGGTTTTTTCTATCTATTAACAGCTACCTGTTATATCATAATATATATCTACATATAAAAAAATAATTTCTTTTTTGCAAAGTTACTTGCATAATTGAAATTTATGCTTTAATATGTGCACACAGCATGGCTTTGACAAAGCCATGTCAACATTTTATTTCTAAACATCCACACCACATTAAACGAAATCGTAGGAACGCCATTAGGACTTGGCAATGTGCACATCTCGCTGTGTGTATTCTTTGAATATTAGCGTGGGATTAGTGCTTAAGCTCTGTTCTTGCCTCACATAAACGACTCATAATCGCGTCGTAGCCATGGTTGGTTGGTTGGTATGGTTGGAGGAGCTGCCACAACAGCCACCAGCCACCCCAAGCATTTAGCGTGCGTGAGACTGTGCTAAATACCTCAGCTTCATGTTAACAGAATACGATTCCACATTCTCTAACGAGCACAAAGCCGTGGAAGATGAAGCAGAAAAGTGAAAGTGTCAGATTCGACGCGGTTCCTGTCAATTTTATTAATGGCGTAATTTTTAAATGTCAAATTTAATTAAGCAAGCATTTTTGCATGTTGAATACTTGGCGTTCCTGCATTCTGTGAGTTGGCTTGATAAAGGTTCGATATTGCGTTTCAATTGCACAGTTTTACACAGTTTTGCGTGCAACCAACTATTCTTTAATAATTTTAATTAATCTAAAATAAGGCATACCTACACACGTGCTTAGATGCGAGTGTCTCTAGTCGTAGTAGAAAATGCGTTGAGAAAAAGTCAGGAATTTAAATGAGGCAAAATTTATACAAAACGTGTAAAATAGGATGAAGTATGCGGGTGCAATCGTAGTGCGAAGAATAAAGGAGACAGGGGCAGTTAACATACCTTGGTGAATACGAGTATTAATTAAAAACCAACTCTTCTGCCGCAACAAGGCGCACTTCATCCTTGCGTATTTATCCTTGCTTAACTTTGCAGTCTTTGAAATTTATAGTAAACCATGAATTTATAACACTTGAGCATTTTTTTAATGAAACAAAACCAGGCAAGGCGACATTCTGTTAATGGCGGTGGTGCTGGTGCTGGCACTGGCGCTTCTACTTCAGCTCTTGCTTCAGCTTCAGCTTCTGCTTCAGCTTTGTTGCTCCGCATCATAATGGCATTCCCAGTTGGTTACTTGCTGCTCGTTCAAGTGTTGAAATATTTTGTTTTAAAGGATTTTTTCACTCTGGTTTGAATGTTTTCCTCAGAAATGAAAATTAAAATTTTTTTGCGTGAAAAGTGTTGTTGTTGCTCTTTTACAATAAACTTGCTAATTTTATGCGTTCTGCCATGAGCTCAAAATTATTAAGGATAAATGTCAGCGTAAAAGGCTTGATGCCCTAGTAATGCTTCTAAAATTACTTTATGATTTTTTACTGAATTAATTAAATGCGTAAAGGAGGTAAATTACTCAGTTTAATACTATACGAGTTAACAGTTATTAAGGAATTAACAAATATGATTAAAAATTTTTTATTTTTCATTTAATTGTTTGATTAACTGAGATACTTAAGTTTTAATTTAATACAGCAAAAACTTCAATGTTAATAGTTTTGAAGGTCCTTCCAACTTTGGCAAATGCGAAGCAATTTTATCTACAAGTTTGCGTTGTTACTTGCAAACTATGCAGTCTTGACAGATGTTTTTAGTCCTTTGAATAATTGACTAGTGCAGCAAAAAAGTTCAAAATAATTTTCTCATAATTATTTTATTGAATTATTAATATTAGAAAATGCATTTAAAACCAATTATCTAATTGAAAATTGTCGCAAAACAAATTAAAAGTGAAGAAATATTTTTCGCAAAATTAATTCCGAAATAGATTTTATATCGTTACTTGATTTTATATTATTGCTCAATAATAAAATCAAGGTTCTAAAAAGAAGTGATCAAAAAATCAATGGCCCTTCTATTATGGGTAGCAGGTTCCCTACATTTACGAAGGCATTTCTAATGCCTTGAATATATTATATTATGTTGAAGCTATTTGAGCCAGTGCACTTTTACTCTTTCTTAACTCGAGGTATTTTCAAAACACCTCTCTTAACGCCTTGACTAGATTATTGTTTATCACTTCATCAGACTAAGCAATAATTGACCTCAGATCTGCATACTTCTCCGAGGAGCCGGTATAAACATACTAATCATTTAACTTTCGAGTTAATATAACCTTCCATACGTAGTCTTTGTTCAGATAAATTAAATTAAAACATTCACAGAATTAATTATCCATATCAATACAGAAAGAGTGTGAATGAAGCTTTTCATTCTTATCAATCAAATGCTGACTTGAATATGAAAAATAATTATAATGTGATTTTACCGTATATGAACAATATTCTAAATTGTTTTAAATTATTTTATAGAATAGTTTTTTATGTCATCGTCATCATCATTGACACTACAACCAATGTCCGATTTTAGATTCCGTGTCACATTCATTCAACAAACCCTGGGTAAGCTAATATTATCGAGCTAAGCACCTCTAAGATCCAAATAATGTGGTATACATTACTTTTTCAGTAGAACTAGGCTCAAACTCGCAGCCATCCATCATAAAATTGGAAGAATCAATCATGATTCTTTTCGCTCATGGTAACTAAGTAGTACACCCCTGGAGACCACCAAAAACCTCTAAGTTTTATTTTTGTCACTTTAAAGCATAGGTATACTTAGATATTGCTTTTTATTATATTGCAAATATATATATATGCTTCTTTATATGTTTCCTTATATGCAGTGGAATAATTTTAACACTTAAATATGGCTAAGAGGTTATAGTTTCATCCAAGTTTTAAATTTGTACATGAGTACTGGTAAGACAATATTTTTCACAGCATTCAATTGAATTGAAACTGCTTACGTGTTTCTAGTCGAAGGATTAAACTACTTCAAATTAATGTCTCTATTTTACGATTACTTGACCAACTCTTACGTTAAAGTAATGTCTTGAAGTCTTCTATATGTAATATTTGAACAAAAAGCATAGTCTACGCTTGTTGATAATGAATTATCTGTTACATTAAAATCAATAGAAAGTCGTTTAAAGAGCTTAAGGGATATAAACATGTCCTATATTCAAAAGCTTTAACATATCGCCTTATTTGTTGGACCAAATTATCCTTCCAGATAATTAACAGAATATATATAGCAGATATCCAAAGCCAGTTTAAAAGCAATTTATATGGATTTATATAGATGATGGGATACTATTACTTATACTTCTACTTCACACAAATATTAAATCATTCAGTTTAATTGAAATAAGATTCTTCCCTCTTAGTTTATATGCCAAGTATTCGTCTCTTAATGTTAGAATTGCCAGTTAAGTGCATTTCAAAAGATTTGACATATTAATCAATTAGATTGAAATTATTTCTATTTATATCAGAAAATATATTTTTAATTAAGTTATTTCATATAATAATAATTTCTCATTTCTCTAATTCTTTAAAAGTATATATAATTATAATAATTAATTGAATGTACTTATTTCTAACGCTTATTCCTTTAAGTTTAAAAAGACTGCGAATAAGGAATAAGCTCCTTTGCACGCTGACAGAAAAGCTTCTAAGTTTAGTCGTACGATTCCACCAGCCAAAATAGTCCTTTGCATTAGGGCACGTTCAGTGAACAAAATCATGTGCATCTTGTATCGTTTGCTCTGATGAATCCAGTTGCTGGAAAAAACAGCGTACGGCAGCTGGTCGAACATCATTTGAAACTCAGTGCCAAAATAGCAGGCCGGAAAGATTTGTAAAAATAATCCAAAAAAATAAAGAGAGTAATATGCTCGATTGAAGTAGTCGTTGATATAAAACAATAAAGCGGCCAGGGCCACGCATATATTAGCAGCAGCAATAGTGATTTGCACAAACATCGGGAAGGCAACGAGGTCTTCAATCAAATCGCACAGCCTGAAAGAATAAAATTTTTATTATTATTTGCACAAATATATTGAAATTGAGATAAATTTACCTGTAAATTTTTTTTTGATCTTTGACGCAACTCAACAGTTCCAACTCATTTTCCTGTTGGTTTTCACAGTTGTGACTAGTTTTGGCAACACGTATGGCGAGAAGCTTAATATGACCGGCTAGCAAGCAAAGCAATAGACCTGGTGTGGTCTCATTAGCATAATTCTGCGTTAATATTGTGGAAATACCAATAATTTGGTATAAGTGTGCTAATAAGTACTTTGTGGTGCTGGAGCGCCAATCAAATGGAAACCAAGCAGGATAAAGTAGTACTCGTTCTTTACTCATGAGTGTGGTTAGTTCAGCTGTTATAGCTACTATTATATAGAGAACGAGATATATGTTTCCAGTTATCTTCATTTTCATTTTCAATTCGGTATTATAAAAGTGGCGCTCGTCTTTACTCCTTACACGTGCATCTAATTCATTTAATAGGTTTTGAATCTCCGGCATTTTTTTTAAATTCATTGCAAAACTAAGAAATTTTATACTTCCGGCAACTGTGGTTAGAAAAACCGAAAGATTCTTTATATCATCCCCTAATGTATCATTACGAAAAATTAACACGGATAGATGCAGAGGATAAAGAATTGTCACGATTATGTTCAACAAAACAGCGTAAGTCCAATAAAGCGTTTTGTAGTTAAGACGAGGTTCAGCATATATGCCGCATAGTTTCCAAATTTTCCATTGCCTTGTAAAGTACGTGTTGCTATTTACTAGCATTTCTGACATTTCAGGATGACACCTTTGGTGCTACTGTGTAGGCATCGCATTTGAAAAGTTTTTAAATTAAATAATTTTTTCAACTTATTGCCTCATGAAATAACAATTACTCAACTTTATGCATTACTTAAATTATTTATATTGATTTTGTGGGAATGTGGCTCACAGGAGCAGTTGTTCCATCTACACAATGCACAGTCAAAAACAATTCTTTCCATTTGAAAATTAAGTATTATTTATGTTGATTGTTGTGTGATTGTAGTCTTTTGAAATAATTATTATATCAGAAATAATTAACTGGTTCTGGTATGATTATAGATGTAGGAGTAAATGGGTATTCGTGAGCAACCCTTCACTATTAAGTGTATTTTTTATTACACAGTTTATCTTGCGTAGGCGCAATTGAAGAAATAGTATTTCCTCGTATATTTAAAAAAAAGCAAAATATATTATTTCATTCTGATTTATATAGGCATACTATTATTTTGAAACTATATCAGAAAAATTCTAGAGTCGAAAAACTGTTGACTTTAAAACTAAATTCCATTTCGTGCTTTTTGACGAATATCCTTGAGATCTTTACATAGGTCTATTCACCGTTGGGCGGTGTGTTTACAGCAAGCTTAAATAAACGATGGTATTTTGTTAGTTCCAAAAGCGTCCGTATTTGTTTAGCTGAGTCATTAACAATTTCGATAACCAACTGCCGTTCACCAATATCAAAACGGATCATACTAATAGATCTGCACGAATTACAACAACCATTACATTATTTTGTAATTTTATTTAAATCTACTTCCTCATGAAAACTGTTATTTGTTACGTATTTTTTACTGACTGCTCTGAAGCATAGTCTTAGCACTCATATCTTGATGGATACCAAATATTATTGAAGTAAAGAGTTCCAGGGAAAACTGTATTGATTTAAAAAACTTCTGTCTTTTACCAGAAAATAATCCACATCGACTTCCCTTACAGCCAATGCCATTCTTCGATAATCAATAGTGGCACAACAATTCCCAAAGTCAATTCAAGAAAAAATAGTTCTACAAACTAGTGTTTGCGTTATTTCTCAGAACGTCAACTAGAAGTAACTTTGAGTTTGTTCGTTTCTCAAATTTATTCAGCTATTTTATACAGCGACCCGTGAAATCTCGAATTGTAGCACTCTTCCTTCTGATTTCTTCCTAGTCATACGCCTCCAAATACCTGACTTTATACTTAGATGAAAGGCATTCAGATATCAATAATCCAACTCCATTACCGTAGTTTTCGTGACCCTGGTCACAGAGTCTACATCTAAACAGCTCTCTGCGCTTGCAAATAACCTCACCCCCTCCATCTACAGCTTTTTCTCTATCCCACGCCCATACTTTCTGACTTAGATAATTGTAGACTTCTTGGTATTAAGTCTCTTTATCCAAACTCTCTTCTCTAATTACTGTAATGATACTGCCTTTCATGTCAGTGATGGAAATCTTCTCCATTTATTTCTAAATTTAGTGGATTAAAGCTTCATACTGTGGCTGTCGTTGCTTTCCACTATCGCATTAAAATAATGCTTAAGTAAATTTTTACAGTGTATTTATTTTTATTGCTTACGTATGAAATGCACTAAAATTGCTTTATTTACAATTTAATAATTTATATTTAATTTTTTATTCTTATTTTTTGTAGTGACATCATTATTAAAACTTTTTTTATGGTTTCAAACTTTTTCGAACTTATACGGGTGAACTAATTTTGTTTAATGGCTTTATAATTAGTTCTGATATTTTTAGTTTATTTATAAATATTGAGTTAGCGAACTTTAATTTGAAGCAAATAATATAAAATAAAATAATATATCTCACGATTTTAGGTCGCAATTTGCAAATCTTTACGCTTAAGAACATCAAAGCAACCCAAAATGTATATAATTTCTAAAATTCTCAAATTATCCTACTTTACCTTCAATAATCACTCACACACACAAACACACACTCCCATCCATACATAAACCACACCGTTAAAGCCGCAAATATTTGTAACGCCATCACACAATTACGCATTCTTACAGTGTCTGACGACATAAAACAGGCAAAAAACAAAAAAAAAGAAAATAAATAAAAGACTCAAGACAACTACCTACCGAGCACCATTGAAGTTAACAAGATGTCACTGCGAAGGTGAGAGCAGTAGAAACAAGTATAATTTATGAACTTCCACATACCAAATACAAAGGTAAACGCATACAATGACAACAATAATTCAAATATTAATTTATTTTCAGGACAATACTGACATGAATCATATTTTCATTGCTTGGGGGCTAGCGGAGGGCATAGCAAAGCATATCAAAGTCTAAAAAGAAGGTACGCGCGTTTGCCTATCAATGGACGTGTACGAGTTGCTTTGTATAAGAAATTACTACGTTTTATGCTGCTGCCGAAGCTACTGGTCGGATTGAATTGTGCCTGGATGAGACGGTGTGGGGGGTATTATTTATTTGATATGAATTTGCACGTTTCGGTTAAAAACACTGTTGTTGTTTTTGTTTTCATTTTGTATGTTTTTACTTTTTGTTATTTGTTATTTGCTTTTTGTTGATGTGTTTTTTGTTTTTTGTGTTTTGTGCTTTGTTTTATGTTTTTTGGTTTTTGCCTGCCTTCAAATTTCATCAAATTTGTGCGACAACACCTGAGAATGTAGGAATTTATTGCATCGAAGTTTCATCTCGTTATGTTCGTAGTTAAATGTGGGCATAATTTATGTAATATTGGCGTTGATAAAGACAAGCAAAATAGTTAAACGTTGACGAATGCAGACAACTTAAATATGCCAATTTGATGTGTGTGTGTGTACATATGTGTGTGTGTATACGAGTGATGGGCGTTGCATGTGGTGTGAGTTTATTTACATTCATATGTGTAGATTTAGAATTTATGTGGAAAGTATTTGAAGTTACTCATCGCATGTTATGCGTAGCATATGAAAAACAAAAGGGAGTGGGGATTTCGGGTTTCGGCTAAATTAATGCAAAGGTTAAATCAGAAAAATGGTTTAGCAAAATTATTGAGGCTTTGGGTTTGCTTTGAGTTCATCAGGTGAATAGTAGATAAGGCTCAACCTGCGGACCAAACACAAATGTTTTCAGTTTTTTGTTCCGCCGTAACATTTTCATTGGTGGTGGATAAAGGGGATGGGAAGTTTATTAAGTAGTATTTTGCAGAAATTTAAGATATAAAAATAAAACTTTTTAAAGAACATGGCGAAATATAGGAAAGAAACCTTGTCTTTAATAACGCTTCAAATATTTCACAGATCTTATAATTACTATTATTTAAACGAGAATATCCTACAATGCTTTCATGAGGTCTATAAATTGTATGAATCTGTCTTCAAGATGAATAGTTTTGCTTTGGTTTAATGCTGAGCATTCACAGAGTATGTGATTAGATGCTTCAACACCAACTTTACATCATGGGAACATACAAATCTCTGAAAACCTCATTTTGTTAAGATACTACCTCACCCACTATATAAGAGTCTCTCTTTGCTATTCGAGTCGATTCGAGAATGGGTACGTTGATAAATCTTTTAGTCCATCTCTTAGTGCATTATAGTCCACTCAGTAGTTTAAATTGGGATACAAAATACCAATGGTTCAATTAGTTAATGTTCGGTTCCTCATCTTTAGAGAGAGTTAGCCATTTGACAATTTTGTGTCTCGGTGACTGTCACAAAAAACACCTATGGTTTTTTGAGAAACCATGCGATTGTTTATACACAGATAGTAAATAAAATATGAAACTAAACCGTTTTCAAAATGTAATGGTCTCTACAGGATTCTCTGTCACTGCGTTGGAGTATGAAATTACTGATAGTATGTCCAATAAAGGCTTTGCTAAACACCTATAAGAGTTAGTTTCCCAAAAATCATTTATTGCGTCAATGTATTTGTGGACTTTGTCCATAAAAACAGATGGTTCAAAATCGAATTATCTGAAATGGCTATAAATTTTATAGAACAACTGTTGAAACTTCACCTGGCACTTGAAAACTTCAGAGTACTGATTGAGTTTATCAAAAAGCATGACTTCAGTGCTTATTACTTGTTCATGGCTAGTATCCTTACAGATTATGTTATATCGCAATATTAATTTGATGATGAAGCCAACACATTGCACTACGTCTGATCTTGTCGAGAAATTAAATAAATTCAATTTGAAAAAATTTTATCTGTTAATAATAAATATTGATAAAATAATATAAAGAATTGAAGCTCAATCTTTAACATCACTTACTAGTCATTGAAGTTATACAGATTATAAAACTGGCTTGTGTGTAGATACTACAAGTAGATATTTTTATGTTTCAATAAAATATAATTAAAAAAAACACTTTTAAATTACTGGGTTATGGGTTCATAAAATAATTTGGCAAGTATCTTCAAAAGGGAATAATAGTAGAGCCGGTTTAAATGTAAGTGGTTAGAAGTAAAACCCCAGTTTTGAATCTCTTTTTGGATAAAGTATTAAGAAGGGGTGATGGGCGGCTGTCTAGCATCTTCTGAAATAGTTTTACTAAATTTCTTATAGTTTAATTGGTCAATATGTATATAAATTTTAAAAATTTTCTACTTTTAATATACTTTAAGCATTATTTTAATCAAAATATATTTTTTGTTAGAGAAATAATATTTTTTAAACATATTTCTGAAATATTGAGGGTCTTTTATTATAAAT